ATCTGGGCCCCGAGAAAGCGAGAATTTGCGATCGACAACGTGGGAACTACGGCCCCGTGTCGAACGCGCGATGGGATCATTTTTATCCCGGCTCGATCGCTTTGTGCTGCTTGTTACTTTGTGACAGTGCGCCCGGTTATTTCGTGTTTATGGCCACGCTGAACCTGAACCTCGATTCCCGTCGTTGCCGAGGTTTTCCGAGGTTTTTCAGAGATTTCTTGTTGCAGGTAACGCGTTACTTGTCTAATTGTACGATTTTGTTATTATATTTTAAAGTGATTGATATTTAAATATTGCTAATGGAGTTCTGTTCTTTTTTGTGTGTAATATTGTGTTGAGAATGAGCATGAAGTATATTTTTAACCCTTAGCAGTCCTATGTCGAGTTAGACTTGACATTTTATTTTATTGCAATCTCTACCTGTTTTAACAATTTTTTCTATATTTATTTGTAGTATCACAACTGTACCATTTAAAGGTAACATTTCAATGACTCCCAAATATTCTTGAATAAATACAGCGTCATATTAAGCTGTAATTGAATGAACTAACGTCGACGTGAACCTCAAAGTGAGAAACCAAGAGCACTTTGGACCGCAAAGGGTTAATGACTGCAAGGTATCCATTGGTAGTCCTCTGTTTCGTGGTCAGTTTTTCCCGAGGACAATAAATTTAATAAATATACACTCAGCTTTTCAAACTGTATTGTTTATTTTTTCAAATAAATATTCAACGTATTGAATTTAGCGAAAGTATTGATAGGAGGTGTAAAGATTGATTTTATTATAGGTTTGAAACGATAAAAATTGATAGGTTGAGTAAAGTCCGTAACTCGGTCGTCAGGTACCATCAACATCGATGAAAATGGAGTATCTCAGGCTTTTCAGTGGGACATTCACTCGACGAACATTGCCCACCGAATTTTACCGTTTTGCTACCGAGTGGCCGGTTTATGGCTGACCTTGGTCGCCCGTAAATTCGGGAAATTTATTGCAACCACCGTGAGCAGCGGTGGTAGCGTGGTCACGTGAAAATGCGTGGCACCCAGTGACCCAGAGACACCGGCAATAAACGCTGGAAAGCAACGGTGGCTGAGTTATTGTGCCGACGATGGCTTTTCACCGATTTTTCTTCGGCGAACCGTCGCGCCGGCCGGCCGGCTTAATTTTACGGTAACCGGGGAACCCTCGAATTGCTCCGAAGATCGAAAAATTCCTGGTCGAACGGAGATTTATTTTCTCTGGACGGGGAACACGATGAGATCAACGGGGGGTGAGCGTTGCTTTCACCGGGGATACGGATGGGGTTCGAAAATTAAAACGGAGGGCACTTCCGTGAAAGCTTCGCGTCTTGGGTACTGTGTCCTTGTTACAGTTTCTTTTTGGAAGTTTGAACGGTTTAAGGTTTGAATGGTTGAATGTTTTAAGATTTGAATGTTTGAACGCTTTGGGATTTGAAAGTTTGAACATTTTGAGGTTTGGAAGTTTGAACGTTTTGAGATTTGAATGTTTGGTCGTTTTAAGATTTGAATGTTCGAAAATTTGATCATTTTAAGGTTTGAATGTTCGAATGTTTTAAAATTTCAATGTTTGAAAATTTTAAGGTTTGAAAATTTGAAGCTTGAAGATTTCAAGGTTTGGAAGTTCGAACGCTTTAAACTGTGAAAGTTTGAACATTCGTATATTTAAAAATTTGAGTATGAACATTCTTCTCTACTCCAAAGTTCAATGGTCATTATCAAATGAAACTCCCCGAAGGCACACTGTTCCCAACGCACATGCCAATCATCAATTAATGCAAGATTCAATCTGCCCGGCGACTCAATTAACATTCAGAAATCAATCACATTTTCCTTGACATTAATAGCTCGCATGAATGATATTCTATTACGTCGGGTTGTCAATGAATTAATACGAATTCAAATCAGCCGCATTAATCTCACGACGCTCGTCGCTCGTCGCTGCGAAACCCGCATGAATTCCGAACGAATAAAATCAATTTCAGTTTCGTAAAATGTTCACGCCCCTTCGGTTTCAAACTGTGCCCTTTTATTAGCTACATCTGCAACTGCTCCCTGAAACCTTCCTTCTTTTTTCATTCTAAACGTACCGACACTGCATTCCTACTGCATTCCTCTATTCCTACCGTAACCAGTCAAATAATTGTTTACAAAATGAAAGTAAACAAGTGAAACGATTAATCTTCCTCAATACAAACATAAACAAAAGTGAAAACAAAAATTAAAATACTGATTAACCGATCAACGGAAGAATTGACGTAACGTTAGGCAGATAAAAGAAAACGCTGACCGTTAAATCACATTTTAAAACCGGTCATTGGACTGGCCGCGGTACGTTTAGTGTTAATAAACGTCCTTATCTCCCCCCGTAGTCATGCAATATTTAAAACGGATGCGACAAAGTGTTTCGCGCGACGATTCCGTGCCGGAATGATAAAAGGCACTGTGTCCGCCGTCGTTTACGAGCTTGAGAAACGGTACAGAAAATTTGACGGTCCTTAATGATTTCGTTGTCGAACAAGGTAATTCCGGTGCTGACACAGGGGCGCATTAAGAAAAAAAAGGAGAGCCGATCGTTCCGCGTGCACGAGCACCGAGGGGCCTTAAAGTGGATGCGCTTTAATCGGGCAAAATGCAGAGTAACGAAATAAAAACCACCTTGATTTTCGGCTGTTGCCCGAACAGAGCAGGCTTCGGTTCGGAAATATGCAAATCCCTGTATGCT